GGAGGAGGAGGAGGAGGAGGAGGAGGAGGGCGGAGGGGGAGGAGGAGGAGGAGGAGGAGGAGGAGGAGGAGGAGGAGGAGGAGGAGGAGGAGGAGGAGGAGGAGGAGGGGGGAGGTCGGCAAAGGGCACGTCCAGTCGCTGAGGGGCCTGTGTCGCCTGGGCTACCCGCGGGGGCGCGAAGATGATCGCGCTTCGCGTGTCCTGGCTTGGGCCCGAGGGCTGCCCTTTTCCAAAGGTGCCTCGCGAGGGCGCGAAGACAACCGCGCGTCGTGCATCGCAGGGCGCGATGTGCGACGTTGGGTCGCCCCGGGTGCTTTCGCTGAGGGTGATTATTGTGCAGTCCTGGTTTTCCCAACCCTTTCTTCCCAGTGCCACGCGAGCAGCTTTCGCGGCGCCCGATTCTTCGAAAATTCTCTCCTCTGCTGGGGGGCCAGAACCCTCCCATTTCTAACTGTTCCATCCTGGGCCTCTTCCAGGCCACTTTGGGAGCCAGGAACAAGTAGAAACGAGCACACTTAGAAATGAGCACGGTTAAGAATGCACGACGTGCACGGTTGTTCTCCTCAGGAGCGGGCCCCGGGCACCGGGGAGGACACAGCGCGCGTGTCGTCGCCAGCCTGCGCGGCCCGCCCGGCGAGCCGTGGCGGGGCAGGCTGGCCCTGGCCCTTCCCAGAGTGGGCGCGTCCGAGGAGAAAACGGGCCAGCGAGGGCCCCGCGGCTGCCATCCCTTCTCCCTCGATCCCCTCCATGCCCTCGCCCTCCCACTCGATCCCCTCCATCCCCTCCCCCTCCACCGTCCATTTTCGTGATCCTCCTTCTCCCGCGGGCTGCTGCAGCTGGAGGGCCCCGAGGAGGCCGCGGACGGGTCGCAGAATCCAAATTCACAAATTGTTTTGGGCCGCACAGATCCACAGAATCATTGGGGCAGCGCAGGAAACTAGAGGATCTCCGAGCCGTACATCCATCGGTTATATAGTGAGGATTCTCATTGCATGGTGTCCCCTGTGCCTTCGCCTGAGCAGGTAGTTTGCCTGGGCAGTGGGGTGTTGCGATGCCCGCTTGCCCGTCTGCCTTCTCCTCCTCGCTCCCCGAGCTGGGGGCTTGGCACTGTGCCACTGGTACCCAGAGCACCACGCAGCGCGTTCGTCGCCGGCCTCAGGCGGGGGAGGGGTGGAGGTGGAAATGGCGGTGTGCAACAGTGGCGCTGACTCGTGCTCCGTGGCGCCTGGACGAAACAATCTGCTGATGACTGGGGCAACAGTGTGAGTAAGTCTTGCGACCGTCGCCCCGTCCAGGGAGCACTCCGTTCCTGAGTCACGGTCTTCTGACCCACAGTCGTACCCAGAGGCTGCGCAGAACTTGTTGGTGTAGAATGAATTTTTGGGTTGCCCGTTTTACTCCCCCCACATTTGCCACTTCTAGCATCAGGAGCTGCTCCCGCAGATCAACTTCGACCTGCACAGACCGACCGTTCACTGGTTCGTTCAGTGCTTCTTGGCATACGGCCGGTTCCGAGAATGTGTATGCGGTGAAGCCGCAGCTCTTTGTGAATATTTATGTATGCCTTCACTTTTCCACGCCCGGTTGATGCCGAGTTGATGTCACCAGTCATGCTCTGTCTTGGTGTCGCATGGTGCATGATTTCCCGGCGCGTACTTATCTGTTGTGTGTATGGAGATCGTTGCAGCCGTTGGCCATAGCGTGTGTGTGTGTGTGCGCATATAGATGCGCATATATATATATATATATATATATATATATATATAATACCCCTGGGCACGAGGCGGGGGGGCCCGGGAGGGGACCCTTGTCTCTCCATCGGGGCATGGGCCGCCCGGGACGCCTCAAGACGGCCCAAGACAGCCCCAATACAAAGGGCCGCGAGAGGCCTCAAAGAGGCCTACAGGCGCGGAGTGATCGCTCTGAAACGCCCAAGATGGCCTTTGGATGGCCCACAAGCCTTCCAACACGGCCCAAGGGGTCCACAAGAGCACTCCCAAAACGGCCCCAAGAAGCCAAAATCATTGATTTTCGGGTGGTTTCTGGTACATATGAAAAGGGCCGCAAGAGGCCTCCAAGAGGCCCCGATACGTTGACATCTCGCTCGAACACGCCCAAGATGGCCTCCAGATGACCCACAAGGCTTCAACACGGCCCAAGGGGTCCCCAAGAGTACTCCCAAAAGAGCCTCAAGAAGCCAAAATCATTGATTCTCCATTGGTTTTTGGTGCATTTCAGCTTTTTGCCTGTTCAGCTTCCCGACGTTCCAAGACGGTCCCGGTCACCCACATATCGCCCTAACAGCCCCCACGAGAGCGCCAAGACGGCCCAGGGACGCCCCCAGACGGCCCAAGACAGCCCCAACACATATGAAAAGGGCTGCGAAAGGCCTCCAAGAGGGCTAGAGTCGCGAAAGTATGGTTCTAACGCGCCCAAGGTGACCTCCAGATGGCCCACAAGGCTTCCAGCACGGCCCAAGGGCTTTCCAAGAGCACCCCAA